CTCTGAACTTGATGTCCAGTACCACGAGCCCCAAGGAATGTTTTTAACTATGCACCTTGGTAGTGGTTCTTCCATGCGTTCCACTATGTGGCTCATTAAGGCTCTGTTTCTACTGCCTGGGGCATAGTATAAATAAAGCACTTAAAGAGATATAGTTCATCCCACCTCTGGCTCAGGGAACATTGTGTTTTACTCCAATGATTTATTGTAGCTGCGACGCCGATTTTTTCTGGTTTATGTTGAGCTATGTAGACCAAGGTCTTAAAACATTTTCAGGGGGAGAGGGAGCAGGAAGTGGGGGAGAAGTGACAGCTGTGAAGTTTCTTCTGTGCACATTTGTACTGTAAAAGCAGAAGATTGATAGATCTCTTTGTGCGTGTGCACCATGGCCGTTAATTTCGGCAATTGAGATTTACCGCTGCACTCCCGCAAAAATTTCTTAGCAGCACTTCCATTTCTAGGGGGAAATTAATTTTTAAGCTACGACATGGGACAATTTCTTTTTAAGTCTCTTTGTAGCTACCATACTACACTCATGTTTTTTCAGTACACTGATTGTGACAAGGAAAGGAAAACGAGTGATTTAAAAAAAACCCCAAAACCCTAAACCCAGTGAACATCTGACTATTACAAAGTAAAGTTAAGTACCTAAGTGACTTAGGAGACAAAGTTCCCTTTTCAAGAGCAACGTGGAAGCCTATGGCCCATTGATTTTCTATGAGATTTAAGCTCTTTGCCTAAACCACATTTGTTAATGGAACTTCAGCCGCTAAATCACTAAGGTGCTTTGGAAGATGATACTGTCTAAAAGGTGTAGCTTTCAAGTTAAAAAAGCCAATCCATTTCTGCTAATAATAAGAAGGCTAAAAATACCAGTGACCAAACTGCATATGCTGTTCACAGAAGTTCATTAGTTGGCCAACCGGCATTGTGGTTTTATCAAGCTACCTATGAAAATGGCGGTAGCTGAAGCAGAAATCAGATTTGGGTTTGTTTTTTTTTGTGCCCGTCATTATTTTGGAGAAGTGCATCATGTTTGGCCATAATAGGGAAGCATTGGAATTGCTACAGAGATGCAGTAGCAATGGATGATATTATTATTCATGACAAGAATGTAGCATTAAGTGTGCTACACCTACTCTAATTTATTGATGGACTGTTTAAGACCGGTGTTAACCTGTTTGTCTTGTATTATAATTGAATTTGGTCTCTAACTTAAACTACAGAAATTCAAGGAGTTCATCCTTCTTCAATCAATAAGCTTCTCTGCAGTGACCCATTTCAAGATAGCTTCATAAAAAATAATGTATCTTGTTCTAATAAATTTAATCACTATGACAGCTGCTCAATTTTTATTGGTTGTTTCTTCAGACATCTCTCTGCCAGAGAATGAAGCCACGCTTACAATCAATAGTAATTGATTAATCAGCATCCCCCTTGAACAAAGATGCTAATCAGGTTTTGATTAGCTAATCAAACCAGAGGCAGAGGCTACATGGCTGTTCCTTGATTGTTCAGTGTTTTACAAGTTGTGTATCAACACTGTGGAGAAAAATAAGACCATAATGGATTGGTGAGAAATGAAAATGCAATGTACTGGATTAATTTAACTGGATTATTACAATAAGCAAAAAAAAAAAAAATTTGTTTGCACTTGTGACATGGGATTGACAAGACTACAGATATGATATCCCTGGCACTGTAGGGTACCAAAGAGAGGTTGAAGGAGAGGTGAGAGGAATTCAATGAGTGTTCCTGTGAGCATACAAAAAATTCCATCACAGCAATAAGCTCTTGTTATGTTGCAGAGCAAATGTTTGAGGAGTCATACCGGACCTGGGTCCACAAAAGTCACACAGACCACTGGAAGCTAACTATGTGGATGCAAGATGGATTATGTAGCTGTACAGTTGGGAGAGTCCCACGGGACTTGTTTGGCAGGACATGACTGTCTGAAATAAATGGCACGCTGAACAAAACCTGTTGCTGGGCTAGCACATTTAATTATGCCATAGCTCATTAATCATGCTGTCTGGAGGGGCTGCCTGTTCAACTCTGGGATGCAATTCAAGGTGCTGCTATTCATTTTGGAAGCCCAACATGCTTGGATATTGGCTAGCCACCAAAATGCTCATCTTCCAACGTTAGTGTAAAGGAGATACAATCACAGCCCTTCGAACTAGAAATTTGGAGACTCGGCAGTTACAGTGTGTGGCTTTCAACTGTGAAACTTTCACCTACTGTCCACCAGAGAGCCTGGGTTTGCTGACTGACCTTTTGGGAATGACAGACAGCCCATCTGTCCACATCGCAATCAAACTCCCACATTATGCCTGTGTCAGCTGACTCAGGCTTGCTGGGGCTTGGGCTGCAGGACTACAAAATTGCAGTGTTGAGGTTTGGGCTTGAGCTTCTGCTCTCGCAGTGTCCCAGAAGCCTGAGTCAGAATATCTATACTGCAATTTCACGCCCCTCCAGCCCAAATCAGCTGGCCCAAGCCAGCCCCGGGTGTTCCACTGCAGCGTAGCCATATCCTCAAAGTTTCGAGCAAGGGGTTAGCATATTCTGGATTGTAGCTAAGGAAAAGGATGAGCTATTCTACCACGAAGGGATGTCGATGACTGAAGACGGTGGCATTCATCTCTGCGCACATGCACAATGGATAAAACAGCTCAAGTTCTCAAAACACATGGTGCCTTTTATATCTGTAAAAACGTACCCAATGGACATGTGCTCCTGCAAACAAGATACTTTCTCACCTGCTTGGTATGGGCAGCAGATGTGTTCACGATGGCTTTTATGACGACTTCTGAAAATTTTGCCCTACTTTTTTAAGCTTCAGACAGAAAAAAACACACCTACCAGCAGAAAATATGCCACCCTATCAGTGCCTCTCTAGACAGAATGAGTTACTGGCTGCATCAGAAGCATAATAGCAAAATTAAACCAAATTGTTACCTCGTCCCTGGGCCAGTAAGCTCTCTGCATTCCTTAACAGCCTGCTGCACTCGGTTTGAGAGTTTGTGTTGTAGTCAGGAATCTGAGACACACACAGCTCAACTTAAAGCAGCCACACAGTGATGGAAGAGATTCATTTCAGCCATTTGACTAGGGAATTCCTCTACGTTGTTCATTTCATCTGTGAAAGGCATTTCTTTTGCTTCTAGCTAACTAGCAAAATCAAAAGAATCATTCCCACTCCATACAGTGGTACATCATAAACACCTGGTACATCTTACTTATCAGGGCTGATTCAGGCCTGCGGATTCATTATCGGCACTGCCGGGGTTTACAAGTGTTGTACAGCCTGTGGGATGTCTTATTCTGGTGAAATGCACACTAGTTAAACAATTACTAACTTCTTGGGCAATGTACACTCTAGTGGCACGCGCACACACACACAGGGGCAGATAAGTTTACTAGGAATGAAGCAAAGCATTCTATGAATAAAAGGTAAAAAAAAAAAGTCCGATTTTATACTACAAAATGAAGCAGCATCAAATCAAGAAGATGCTTCTGGATAGCGCTGTTCCCAGGTACCTGTGGTCTCTGGAGCTGGGCCCTCAATGATTGCCATGCTTCCCACAATGGAAGCAGGACTTCATGACTATATCTACACTGGCGGGTTATTGCGCAAGAACGGCCGTTCTTCCACAGAGCGTCCACACTGCCCACCTGCTCTTGCACAAGAAGATTTACAGTAAAGCATGGTAGGAGAGGGCTTCTTGCGCAAGAGTCATGCTCTTTTCTAACAGATGTAAGTCCTCTAGCACAAGAGCTCTTACGCAAGAGGGCAGTGTGGACGTGCGGCAGGGGTTTCTTGCGCAAGAAAGCCCTATGGCTAAAATGGCCATCAGAGCTTTCTTGCGCAAGAGAGCGTCCACACTGCCATGGATGCTTGTGCGCAAAAGCACATCTCACACGTGGCAAAGTGGATGTGTTCTTGCGCAAGAGTTCTTGCACAAGAACCCTTGCACAAGATGTTCTTGCGCAAGAAGCCGCCAGTGTAGACATAGCCCATGTGGCCTTACGTCTCCATAATTTTGTATATCATGCAAGAGTCCCGTTTTGATGCCTGAGGGGGAATCCACTGCTGGCTTGGCGATTTGAAAATCCGACACGGTGACACACAGTTCACACGCGCTGTGGCACTCAGGGCAGCCTCATGGGGCTGCACAAATAAAAATGCTTCAGTAAAATGAACAATTTAAAGTGAAGCAACAAAAACAGATACTAAATTATGAGTATTTAGAGTCCTTGGGGGAGCGGGGAGGTTCCATGTCTGACTGCATATCAGTGAGATCAAGTGATTTAACATACATAGTTGGTGTCTGTTTCAACTACATCCGCCACCCTCAATCACCCGCTGAAGAGATGTTTGTTTCTTAATTTGCAATAGTAATGCCTCCATTTGGGAACCGGCAATAAAACCTACTTGTGCAAGTTGCTCAGTCTGCTGTGAAAAGAGGGTTCAAAGCATCTAATTAATTTACATTATAGTGCGTGAGAGAAGGATTGGCCCCTTCTGTCCCCATTTAAAATAATCATGTCAGGACAATTTCCCAGCACTACATGAAGGAGCAGGCCGGCTAGATTTAGTGCAAGCTGCATTTTTCTAGACGCTCACACAATCCAGCATCCGGAATGGTTTAACAAATGTAACAAAATTTCAACTGAACCATTCTCTAATGAGGATTAAAACATTATTTCAAGCCACTGAACTTACAGTAGCAGTTAGACAACCTGAAATATGAAACACATTGTACGGCATAAATTTCCCTGCCCCCATTCTGAAATATGTTGATACATAAATGCATGCCAGTTAAAAAAAGAGAGAAGCAGAAAACAAGTATATATATCTAAACGACAGGGTTCTATATGTGATTAACTGCTACACGACAGCAACTGTGCAATGCAAAATGGCCAAGATGCATAAATCAAAGGGGAAGCAGTATCCACAGATTGAACGCAGCAGTGTTTTACCTATTACTAGCCCTTACCTGTGAGATCCCCATAGTCCAGTTCCTCTGCGGAATTTGGCAACTGAGTAAAGCCTTACAAGTAAAAACAAACTCGTTTTTCTTTATGTTCCTCAACGGACAACAACAATACACTTAACAATAGAGGATGGATTTACTGAAAAAAGAAGCGAGTCAGTCACTTGCCACCTTTGGATGGTTTGAATAGATTAGCTTGTAAATGCAGTTCTCCAATCGTCTACTTTAATACTGATAGACTGTCAGAAAGATTCCTCAGTCTACACTGTTTAAAACACATGAAACATGAAGGTGAATGTTCAAAATCACTCATCCATAACAGCATGCAAAAAAAAAACCCCAACCCTTTTCCAGGCCTTGATTGTTAGCTGTCAAGTGGTGTGATGTATCACTTTATTACAGTTCTATTTAGATTACGCATATGTGTGTATGTAAAATTTTATTTCTCGTTACAATACAAATGGAAAGCCTTGGCCCACATTGACACAAACAGCATTTTATCAATTTAGGGAGATCTTGTATTTACCTACCTTTCCAGAACCGCTGTGCTTCGAGGAGTGTTGCACCTGTCCATTCCACAGCGTGTGTGTGTGTACCTCATGCACGGGCATTGGGAGATTTCCCCCGCAGAAGTACCTAACGGCAGCAGGAGTACTCTCTGGTGTCTTGTGCCGCTGCACGTAGGTATAAAGGGCCATGCTGACTCCCAACCACCGTCAGGCCCTTCCTACGAGGAAGGCTCTGATAAAAAGGGGAGGGAGGATGGGTCATGGAATGGCCATGCACAACACATCTCGAAGAACAGTTGCAGGGAGTGAGGTATCAGGTTTTTCCCCCTTCGAGCGATTGCACATGTCCATTTCTCCGTAGGTGACTCAAGCGGGGAGAAAAAGACTCTGTTATCTAAAATCTCCATGAAGAAGCATAGGGAGGCAGATACATCTATGGTGCAGCAACCCTAATGACACTATTCAAAGAAGAGCCAACACCAACTAACCACACTCCGCGGGACCACGGATGTTTCTGGACGAGAGAGCCCCAGACAAGAAGCCTAGTCACAGGAGGGCCAGTGGCAGTGGGGCTAGAGCTGGCAGCCTAGTGGGGCCGGTGGTAGGGGGCTGGCCAGAACCAAAGTGGAGCTGGTGGCGGGTTCGGGGACAGGAGACATGGTCTGTCAAATTCCCTCATTTGGGACCAGCGAGGTCCCATGGGTGCCAGCCCAGGAGGTTCAATCTGCATTAGAATAACTTGTGCAGAATTTTGCTACAATTACCTCCTGAGGTCTCTTCCAACCCTAAACTTCTATGATCAGGTATGGACATTGGGCAAGAGTAGAATTGGAGGGAAGGCATACAACAGGCCTTCTGACCAGGGGGAGAAGAATACCTCTGTCAGTGAATCTTTGCTCAGGATAAAAAAGGAGGACTTATTTTTGTTTGCTCCTTGTTGTAAATAGGCCGACTTAGGGAGTTCCCTGCTGCTGGAAAATCATAGAATACTAGGACTGGAAGGGACCTCAAGAGGTCATCGAGTCCAGTCCCCTGCCCTCATGGATGAAAATGGACCCAGACACATCTAGGCTAAGAGACCATTTGTGGTGATCGGCCAATTGCCTGCTCAGGCAATATACCAGCACTCTCTGAACTTCTAGAAGGTATGTAGCTCTCGGGTTGACACTGGTGATGATGAAGACGTGCCAAAGGAGGATTGCCTCCTGGCATAACTTGATCTAATGGGCTCCCCCTAGTCTGTTTATTTAGAACATCTCAGAGTGTGAACCAATTCCGCCCCCTCAATATGCTGAAGGAACGTCATGCAATCCCAACAGATCTCCTGAAGCGCCTCGAGATTTATATGGAGATTCAGATCCTGAAGAAACCAAAGGCCCTAAGTCTGAAGGGGACCTATGTAAGCTCCCTAATCTAGATCCAATATATCTGTGACTAGAGTGAGTGACTTAGGGGGGAGCAAAAGGGAACTCACTTGTAAACATTTGCATATTCTCTTCCCTCTGCCCAGGAGAACATGTTCTGAACAGATAGTAGATCCATCAGGACCATATAACGACAGGCCAGTGAGTACACTGAGGCTAGCTAGCCCTATAGTTCTCTAAGGTGTGGCCTGGTATATGCATCAGGTAGTACACACCGCCATGCCTCCTAGAAACTCTGAACCACAGTGACAGATCAAGAACAATGACTTGCATTGACTGGAGCTCCGTAGCTCCAAGACTGCTTCAAGGAATTCTATTCTTCATTCTATGGCAGGATAGATTTCTCTGTATTGATTAGGATCTCTGATGCATTGAAAGCAGGCTGAAGAGTGGCTACACTATGGAGTACCTGAGACCTGTGTCGGCCTCTCGCTAGCCTGTCATCCAAGTAGGGAAGTACACGGATTCCTGGCCATCGCAGGACTGCTGCTACTACAGCCAAGCATTTTGTGAATAAGCAAAGGACTGCTGAGAGGCCAAAGGTCAGCACAGCAAACCGTTAGTGGGATCCCTCAACCTCGAATCAGAGAAACTTTCTGTGAATCGCCACCTGAAAATAAGAATCCTTCAATCAAGAGCAGTATATCAGTCCCTGGGATCTAAGGAAGGAAGAACAAATGCTGGAGCAACCCATCTAGAATGGTCTTATCCTTATGAATTTGTATAGCTGCTTTCTATCTAAAATAGGTCTAAGACCCCCTTTGCCTTTAAGATGAGGAATGCCAAGTAATGGGGAGAAAATCCCTCCCCTCTATATGATGCGGTAATTCCTGTATGGACTCCATAAGGACAGGAGACTGAATCTCCTGAAGTAAGGTGCTCTCAGGAGAGTGGTCCCTGAAAAGTGACAGGAAACAGGGCACAGGCATAAACTGAAGGGTGCATCTCAGCTCCACTGATCCAGGGTGATGCAAGTACAAACACTTAGGAAACGGGATAGCTGAATGGCAAGAATTGGTGTGGGGAAAGATGGTGCTGAGAGGACTGTTCTCAACCAACAGGTCAAACTGACTGTTAGAGGACACAACTCGTCCTAGAAAACTCTCAGCCGCAGAAGAGCAAGGAGGAAGAGGAAGATCCCTCTTGTAAGTTCTGCTCCTCTTTTTGGAGGACTTCCAGATATGCAGCAAGAATGGCTGATGTTATTGGAATGGCCTTTCCCCTCCCTCCCGCCTGTAAGTCTGCCAGAGACTTCAGTGTCACCCCTGAATCCTCAAGACGATGAAGTCTCTCATTGGTCTTATCAGAGAAGAGCGTGAGGCCTTCAGTGGTGTGTTGCGCCTCTGGGGGAAGACCTGATGACTGTACCCAAGACGGACGTGCACAGTGATGGCGGAAGCCGTTGCTCAAGCCTCAGGGTCCACCGCTGGCTGTGGGAGGGGAGGGGAGGGTCTACTGTAAAACCTTGACAGGCTCCAGGATAACCTTATGAACTATCCTAGAGGGCTCTCCAGAGGCTAAAGTGTCCACAAGCCTGTGTGACCTTACCCATACTTCTTCTGGTTGGAGACACAGAGTGGCAGCCCTCCTCAATTCTAAGGGAGCCCTGAAATCATCAGAAAACAGAGCAGAGTCAGTCACTATCACCCCCATTAAGGGACAAAGAAGAGGCAGATGAGAGTTGTTGAGGAGGTCCCTCTAATTCCTCCTGAGCATGCAGGGCTCCACCTCATGACACTGGAGGAGGGAAGATTGTGACCTTGCTACAGATGCTCCCAGCATCTAGCAGACGTGGAAGGGAGCGATAAGACTCTAGACTCTAGAACATAGAAGGAAGCCCCTAGAGGTCCCAACGGGCCACTGATGTGGAGGCAGGACCCCGTTACATGGTCCTTCAAGAGCTGTGGCTGTGACCAGTTCCATGGTGGGCAGGTATCCCAATGTGGCATGCCTGTGTTGAGAAACACGTGATCTGTCCTTGGAGTCTGAAGAAGACTCGTTACTTCAGATCATGGTGGAGCTGACCCTATTGGCAGCAGGGAAGCCAGCTCTGAGGCTGGGCATAGGGGTACCCACAGAGAAGAAGCCACCAGTACTGAATAGTGCTCTGTCCTTTTTCAAGCGGGGTTTGAACCTTCTACAAACGTGACACTTCTCACTCAGATACTTAAGGCAGCTGGAATGTTGGTCTTTCACTGGCATAGACTTGTTATGTAGACAATAGGCCCTGAAGCCAGGAAAAAGATTCTTCCTTACTACTCCTGGAACTCCACTCTAGAAAAAACACTGTCCTAAGTTTATTCTTCTATGTAAATTTGAATCGAAAACACTACACTACTCTAAAAATGACTTCTACACATACCACATACACTAAAAGAAGATTTAGGCCAGATCTATACTTAACCTGGAAAGTCGGCTTAAGCTATGCAATTCCAGTTATGTTCAACATACCTTAAGCTGAACTTGGTGCCATCTCCACAGCAGGAGGTCAAGGGAGCAAATGTTCTCATTGACTTCCCTTCCTCCTCGCAAATTGCGGAGTATCAGTGCTGACTGAGAGCGCCCTTGGCGTTTGATTTAGGGGGTCCTTACTACACCCGCCAAATTGAACATCAGAAGATCAATCTCCAAGTGCATAAGTATAGATGTGGCCTTACAAATACAAAGATCGGAACTCCAACAAATGTCATTAGCAGGAGGAAGAAACTAAGTTGGGTTTCTTGTTGGGTAGCATGTCCCTTTGTACCTGTACGCGGTGGCATGAGACAGTTGATGGCACACATGCTGCCCCAACAG